CAGCATTACACCTGCCCTGGCTAGGTGAAAGATTGTCTAGATACGAAAAGCCAGAACAAACACTAACAATGAAACTTCCATGGGAGGAGCTATAGAACTATGTAGTGTAAGCAGATAGAAATGTCTGCTCAAATGAGCTCTCCAAGGGCATAGCATCAAAACTAGTTAAACACCAAAAGAAAGGAGACTGGTGAGAAGTATTCATTGCAGATTTTATTAATAGGGTTAACAAATATATGTCATGAATGTCATTGGTGCAGTCAATTTTTCTTGCTACAAGGCAGTGACTATAGGACTTCTCAAAATCTGTTCTTCCTCCCCACCCTGCTCCAGTTACCATTCCTACTGTCTCTGTCCACTGATCTTTTTCATGATCGAATTTGTTTATCTAGGTCCTCTGCAGCCTCTGGAAGTTGGAGCTATAATTCTAGTGCTTCCTTTGAAGTGAGCAGAACTCACTGTATGTATTTAAATAGACCTGCATGTAGCATGTATGTTTAAACACACTACTGTGGAAATTAAAAATGATAACAGAAATAGGTTGCTGAACTTATTTTTCCTAGGGAATTGTTTGTTCCAAACATGTTAGTCACTTCTGCTCACTTTCTCCTAAAATTCTCATTTCTTCTTTTGAAATGAGAAAAACAATTAATAGAAATCCATACATTGAATCAACATGCAAAGTTTTTATTCTCCTGTGGTAGGTCTGAACCTGCTTTTTCGCCACAACCCTTGCAACATGAAACTGCCCTCTCCTACACACAGACTCTGAAAGGCAGTCTTCATGCAGGCAATATTCCTAGCATTAATACATCTTGGGTTTGTACACCTTCTGCCTAATTATGTGTAATTTACCGAAGCCTAAATAAAGAATTGAGATACCCTAACTTCTCTCTATAGCTAGTAGAAGGAGCAAAGACTCTCCAGGGCATGATTCAGACCAGCGGCCCTCTAGAAGAGCAGAGTTCTCTCCACAGATTTCAAGTGGGCTCTGGGAAGCCAAGGAACCTCAGCTGAGCAGACTCATTCACTATATTTGAACTGAAGCTTCTCTTCAGGAAAATAAAAGAAATTTCCTCAGGGAATGGGATTGCAAAACCAAAGGATCTCAGAGTTAGTTTTTAACTCAAGTAGTTAGTCCTAAATTTTGACTGTGTAGCACGGACAGACTCCTAGTGTTTCAATTAGGAGAGAAGGAGAAGGTGCTTCAGCAAAGTTAAGATGTAGGGTGTTGGCATCAGGAGGAAGTTCAAGATGAAGTTCTGGAAGAATTGTTTTGTTGCTGCCTTTGGCTAATTCCCTCTCAGACTAGGCCTGCAGTGTATAGCATACTGCCCATACAATCATAGAATAGGATCATGGAACTACTCAGGTTGGAAAAGACCTTAAAGATCATCAAGACCAACTGCAGCCTAGCCATACTACCCTAAATCTAAGGAATACAAGCAGGAAATTTATACACAGAGAATGGCTCTGATAGAAGCGATTTCTATGCTGGCGACCTTGTAAGTACAGTGCTTAAGGAGGTAAGGAGCAAAAGCGACTGTGTTTCACTGACTGGCATGGAGGGAGGAAACAAAGGAAGAGATGGAAAAGATCTAAGCCTGATGGGAGAAAGGTGGGAGGGAGGGAATGGGAAAGAATTTCCTCTGCATCTTTTCCCAAGCCAAAACAACTCTGAGGATGTTTCTGCTTGATTTAGTTTTCTGAAAATAATTTGGACTCTGGAATTTTGGCAATAATTCGATGTGGAAGGTACTTAGAAATTTATTTATTTGCCAAGGATGAAAAATCTAGGCCCAATATTTCTTATGTGAAAATAAGAAGGTAATAAAGAACTGATAGCTTAAGCACACTGCTTATAACATTTTGATCAAATATATATATGCACACATTATTTTTCAATACTCCACTGCCTTAAACAGAGCAGCTGTCATAATTAAGACAGATTTAACTACAGAATCCTTACTTCCGGCATAATAATACACAACTGAGTTTTCAGTGCCCATTTTCTAGGCAAAGTTTTAATGCAAAAATGCTGTTTTTTCCTTGTTCTTATTTACTCATAGTACCTATGATTTGCCCATGGGTTTTGATGGATGTATTGTGATGAACATCTTCAGCTATTTTTGAAAAGTTACAATTTTACTATTTATTCAGATAATAAGTCTTAGTAAATTAAGGCTGTCGTAATACCAGTTAAGAAATCTACTAACTGGATTCAGAACAAGACAAAAGAACATGTACTGCAAACATAGAATGAAAATAATTTAAATATAAGTCATTACATTATCACAGAGAAGGCAAGATTGACATAAGCTTATATTAAAAAATTAAAATTTTTAAATAACTAATTAATTAAGTATTCAATTATACTTTTATTGTTTAGATAGATAGATAAAAAAGCAGCACAATGTAAATGTATGTTAGAGCTGAATTGATCTCACAACAGAATAATGGAAAATTAGCCAATAGAATCTGTTTTATCTCAGTACTGCATTCTTCTGAATATCTACAGTATGACTCCACTGGTAAAAAAACAGTTCTGAAGTTTGACCCACATCCAAAACAAAATTCAGGTGAAGAAATCAAGAGTGTAATCAACTTTGTTTGTGAAATGCTTTTTAATATGATGTTTGCCAGATTAAAAATGTGGGTTTAGGTACATCTGGTAGTGTGGAAAGAGAGACAGCAACAGCTGCAAAAATTTGAAATGTTTTATGAACTTTTTGTCCTGGATTTCTGAGCTTTTTGCCTTTTGCCCTGACCTTTCCTTCCTGTGTATATTTAGAAAACAAAAAAATAAATTTCATACTGTAGAACTCATGGTGAATCATATTGGTATTGAAAGTCAGCTATCTTAAAGGAATCTTCATTAATTCACCAAAGGAATGTTATTTACTAACAGAGTAATTTTACCCAAAAATGTAAGGATCACATTATGCAAAGTATTCATAGATTATACAACATTGTTCTCTGAATTCATTATACTCAGCGATAAAATCATTGTCTTATACAGTATTTCAAAGTCAAACTGGTATCTTTGATAAAAGTCATCTCTTTTCTCTGAGAACAAATTGATACATGTTATTTTTGCTGTGAAAAAAAAATAATGAAATATCATCAAAATCTGAGTAAAGCAACAGGTTGGTTAAATAGAATATATTAATGCTTGCAAAATCTTCAGATTACAAAATTAAAGTTGTAGCTTCCTCAATGCATAGTAAAGTTTTCAGATAATCGTACTAGGGAAAACCTTTCCAATATCTTCCGTATGTTTAATAATGCCTAGACTTTAGTACCAAGATATCATAGTAATCTTTCATTAATTGACAAGATCATTTATTTGCATATAGTTACCAAATGCCAGAGATGTCTACACTTCATCAAGCTACTGACAGCAAGCCAAAAGAATGAGTGGAGCAACAAGCACCACTTTTCAAAATGCCATATTTGGCATTTACGTATTTGACTTGGTATAAGAAGAAAACACCTGTTCTTCTGTTGGAAGAATAAGAATGGTGCATTAGTAATGTACCTAAATAGAATAACTGCCAAATCAGCAAAGTAGTGGTGGAACACATTCTTTAATATATGTAGACCTTTTGGGGAAAAAAAAAAATTATACATTTCTTGTATAATATTATATTTGTGAAGTTTATATTCCCCTTCACACTAAATATATTGTGTGTAATTTCCTTAAGTAGTTGTAATTATGATTTAAAATGTACCAGGAGTTCCTCTCAAATAACACATGAAATATTTAATATGGTCTTTCAGTTCTTAAGGGGAGCTTATAAACAGGAGGGAGACAGACTTTTTACATGATCTTTTAGTGATAGAACGAGGGGAAATGGTTTTAAACTAAAGGAGGGGATATTTAGGTTAGATGTTAGGTGGAAATTTTTTACTTGGAGGGCGGTGAGGCCCTGGCACAGCTGCCCAGAGAAGCTGTGGTGCCCCATCCCTGGAGGCGCTCAAGGCCAGGTTGGATGGGGCCCTGGGCAGCTGAGCTGGTGGGGGGCAGCCCTGCCCACAGCATGGGATGGGGCTGTGGGATTTTAAGATTCCTTCCAATACAAGCCATACTATTGTTCTATTGTTTTATTTTCTTGTATTTAATACTAGAACAAGGTACAGTGTCCAAGTTCTGTTGTATGTGATGGTATCAATGTTTGAAGAGCAGAAGCAGAATTAGGATTAAATACAGAAGCCTTGTATGAATCAGAAAAGAGTCTTATGTGGAGTCCACTGACTGTGGCTCACAATTAGGCTCTGATGCTAGAAAAATAAACCCAGGGAATTTCAATATAAGTGTTGTTACTCAATTCTATTTCCAGTTCCTATTAAATACGTTTTCTTACAAAAAAGAACAAGAAAAGTAACTTCATTAAAAGTATTTAAATACATCTAGTGAGAGCTAAAATATTTCACTTCAGAACTCTGAAACTCCTCATTAGCTTCCATTGTTCTAACTTATTTTTCCATGTACTAAAATGCAAAATAAAGTTTTAACAGGGATTTCTTGTAGCAATGCACCTCTGTTTGGTTTAGCACTTAGACAAGCTGCTTGACCATAGTGAATCTGTACAGTTTAATTCTGTGTATACCATTAAGTACTTTACAGAAAGTAGTACTGAACAGAAAAAGAGATAAACACATACTTAAGTGATTTGCTAAATTGTTAGTCTAGCTATGTAAATCATACGCATATAGCATTTGTGTTTATTTCAGTATGGTATAAGTCATTAAGTAATTCATAAAATGAAGATGCCTAAAGCACTAATGAAAATTATAATCTCAGATCTGAGACCTTCCAAGACGCAAGCTGTATCATTGGATTTAGATGATCTTACAAATAATAACATCGACATTTGCCGTTATGGGGTGCACCACAAGGAAAAAGCACTGAAGATTCAATTATCACTTCCATTGTAAATAAATACATAAATAGATGAAAGATAGATAGATAAACATATATCTATATTTATTGTGCCATATGAGGAAAAACTGCTGTGTACCAATAGAATAAAAAGCTAAAGAGAAACACTCATTAATGCCATCTAGAGATTTTTGCATTTTGACTTTCTAAATGAGAAGGATAACGAGATCTCACAATTAGAGGAAATGCAGGGACAGCTGCTGGGAAGTATTTCTAACTGCAATTCCTTACAGCCCATTCTGAAAGATTAAGGAGTGCCTATGATATTAATTACCTTTGACATAAATGAGTGATGACAATAGGCTGCAGTGTGTGGGGGTGATGCTTGCCATATGTTTTTTTGACACAGTTGAAGTAGCTATTTTTGAAACTGGATAAAACAGAAGTTTTACAGCGTGACATGTGGGATAGAAATGAGCTATTAGTTATAGTAGTAGTTCTCCCCTTCATCAAAATGAACTGCTAACAGGATGTCTTGAAAATATGAATTAGTTTAGTGACCAAAGTAATGCTCAAGTCATCAAGAAGTAAGAAAATCAACAGAACAGATTCTCTTTAGAACACTCCTATCATAATCTTGAGCTGTCATTGTAATTTTCCAGAAGATACCTGACAGACATTTCTGCGTTCCCAGTGGTGATATGAAAGTGCAGTCAACTTGCATCTCCGGCCTTTATTCATTGAGAAATGATTGGTTTGTGGTCCCGATGGCTCATCTGAGCAAGGTCAGGCGTAGTTGTGCCTCTTTTGCTCACAACCTTTTCGCAGGTAGGCAGCCACGGTCTGCCTCTGAATAGAGATGCTTTCCTAGGACCAAAAGCATTATACAGAGTGAGATAGAGCAGACAGCTATTAGAAACCTGGCCTCTAAAAGTGGTGCCAGGAACAAGCATGAGGAAGTTCAGAGTAGCAGCTAATAAACTGACCTGAAGAAAAGTTCTAATTGCTTATGCTTTGACAGAAATATATTTAGATCCTTTTAACATTATTTTGCATGAAAATCACTGATGTTTATATTGAGCATTTGAATGACTGGTCTTTTCTTACCACCTACCTATGCGTATCACAATTGCATCAACAATTGTGCTTCCTCTCATTATTTTTTAATTGCACTGATTGCTCTTATTCTTACAGGAAGGCAGTTAGTAGCTCTCAATTTTCTCACTAGCATGGCCCTTCCTCATTTTGCACACATCTACCAAGTCCCTTCCTATATGATCTCTCTCAGGAACCACAAGATATTCAGTCTCTTATTTCCGTAACTTTTTTCGCTCTAAAAATGGAATCTTCATCTAAACTTTGTTTATCACTGTTCTTTTTCTTAAGCAGACTCATAGCAGGCTGTCTATAGTATTCAAAATCGACATGAATGACTGCTTGAATATTATAATATTTTACTATGTTTTTATCTCTTTTTTCTTGCTGCAAAAGGATGCAGGTTTTCATTTTGTTAGCAACATTTGGATTGTTTTTCTTTGAACTGTTACATGCTGTCTTTTTCAGTGAATTTTCATAAACACTAAATTGCCCAGGAATGGTCCATTCAAGTCACTCTAAACTGAATGGGAAAAAAAAGAAAAAAAAAAGACTATACTTTTTTTAATGCATTGATATAAGGATTTTCATGGGCCACTGCTAAACTTATTGAATGGATGCAGGTGAGTCAGTACCTAAGCATTTAAAGAGAACAAACAAAAATACTGCAAGAAAAAAAAGAACACTAAGACCTCGTTATTTAACATTGTTCAGGAATACAATAAATTATACAGCAATTTATACTGCCAACATACCTTAAAAAGCTACACAAAGGACCTAAACTAATATGTTATGCAATCTGTAGTTCTAAGATAGACTGAAAGCAAGGGGAAAACAAGTACATTACTAGAAACCTGGCTTTAGCTGTTGCTGCTTATAAGATTGTAATGGATTTGACTGCCACTGGTATTATTAATTTCCCAGGCGAATTTGGGAGTGGAACAAAAATGTGGAAATGAAGATGGAGAGGTTATGGTATGTTAAAATTATCCACCTCCACTTACACACAGTACATTTGATTCACACTGCTGTCTTTCTGTGTCTCAGTTTACCTATCTGTGAAATGCTTCAGGTCCACTAATAAGGCATTAATATACTTCTCCCACTTATTAGTTCCCTTGTCTTCCCACATCCATACCCTCTTCTGAAGATGAAGGGAGAGAAATAATTATTAAAACTGCTTACTAGGATGTTTACTCAATTCTCTCTCATTGCTTGCTAAGTCTAAAGAATTTATGCACTCTGGGACACAAGTTCTCTTATGTGCCTATTCTCAGCAGTGCAGTAAAGGCCTATCTTTTTTGACCAGCCACGTAGCATCTCAGCTCCTGATATTTACCAAACCTCATAAGCAATATAATTACATACATATCTCTCCAGGCTCCCTCTTAAACTTAACTCCCATTTGGATGGGAGTTAAGGTTAAGAGAAATTATCAATGAGGTATGATAGAAATAATGTAATCTTTCTTTTCCATATAATTAATTTCCAGAAAGTTTATTTTTAAGCTCCTTAAAGTGTAACTCATGAACAAACATGAAAAAATGCATATCAAACAGATAAATAATACTTCTTTCTGTTGTTACATGAGAGACTTTTAGGTTTTCCTTTTAGAGGAGAGTATAAAGATTTCCATTCAAACAGTTAGACATCTCTTTCCAGAATGACCTACTCAGTTTTAAGTGGCTATTGTACTCTATTTTGTGAAATATGTTTCTGGCATCTAACAGTGAGGACCTGGAGCACAACTGTGCTTTTCTAACCATCTTCAATAGCATCATAGAATTACTAAGTATCTATCTTCTTGGCATAAATTTGGAAGTAGAAGGAATGAAAAATTCTCATTGTGCAGAAGTATGTAGGACATGCGAATCTCCTTGGCAGTGCCTAGTCATTTCCCATTCTTGTTAAAAAGTGTGTTAGAATATCTGCTGAATGGTGATAAATCTCATATCTAACTGAATTTGACTTAATTTTTGTAAGATCCACATACAAGACTTTGCAAGTTTAAGCTGTTGAAGCGCTACAGATAAGAAGTCCACTGATTGCATAGGAATGTAAGGTGAGGAAATTATAATTGAGATATGACTAGAATCAAGTAACAGCAGACAGCAGCAACAAATAACTTAAGAAAAATTTGTAGTCACATTTTACAGTTAAGTCATGAAAAGGTGGTAATATCATCTTAACAGCCATGGTAAGACAATAGTAAAATAAATCTATATGAAACTGTCAACTTTGCTTTGGTTAGAGAGGCTGTGAATGTGAAATATCACACAACTCTTGAACGCTCTGCTAGTTGTGGGTTGTAGGATTTTTTCGTTTTCCTGTTTTTGAGAAAACAAGATGCAATCATCCAGATGTTCTTCATCTAAACAGTTGATCAGAAATTAAATAAATATTTGCTTCATTTTTTCATCTGACAATATTCTTACTAAAGGAAATACAGAAATAGGTAGAAAGGAGTATGGGTCCCATGGGTCAGTCATTTATCTATTTGTTGAGGCAGAAAACAGCATTGGCACAGACCTGTGAAGGAGAAGAAATTATAAAAATGCTTAACAAAGAAGAAAAAGGCATACACACACACACACACAAAAGCATTGTTTATTTATTTAACACATTTCTTTTTTTTTTTTTTTTCACCTCTGATTTTACCAACAACAGTAAAGTACGAACAGTGTCATGATACTTCTTGGAAATGTTAGATGGTTTACAAAGACAATAACTTCTAAATATGTTATGATAAGGCAGAGGGAACTGTGTTCCCTGAACAGTGAACAAAGTAGGCAAAGTGAAAAAAGCAAATTGGATACCTGTAGCATAAATGATTGGTAACTTACACTCCGTTTTGGTAATAAGGTCTTATTGAACATAAATTAATAGACTGTGATAATACCAAATGAAAATTAATTGTATGAATAGAATGTGGTTAGCTGGCCTGAGCTTCTGGAAGTACAGGCATTTTGTCTATGGGCCCTGATGGGCAGCTGGCCAAACCAGTCCCTCAGGCTTTTCTACATAGTGGATGCCTACTCCAGAGGATTTCCATTTCAGAAGCTAAGGAATGGAATACAATGATAGAGAAGTTACTTAGCTTCAGGAAGACAAAATAGCCAAGAAAAGAAAAAAACACTTTGAAAATGGGATTCAACAATCACTTTAGATACACTCCTATAGGATAGTGATACACTCATTCTTGTTTTCTGGCTATCTCATCTATATGCTGAGAGTCATTTCCAGTTTGATGTTTGAGATGTGTGTAGGAACTGCTGCGTCATGGTCTGAATCATTCATTGAGCACCTGGGGAAAGGATGCAGTCAGCCCTGGGAGCACAGGTGAAGGCAATTCACCTGTACAACCAGAAGGGGTGGAGCCTGGCTGCACCTCTCTCTGGCCTCATTTAAGGCCTGACTGGCACTGGGGAAGGACCTCTGGTTGGAGTTCCCTCTTTGGTGAAGCTTTCCCCTGCAAGCCTAGGATCTCCTGATATCGGTGGGCAACCTTCTTCCCTTCCTTTATCACAGCTGTTTATTGTGCCAGTCCTTTTGTCATCACACCTTTGTTTTAACACCTTTCCCATTGTACTGTTCTTTCTAATGTACCAGAGATCAAAGAGATGAATTTAGAAAGGAACTGGATCATGTGAAATAGACTTAGCTCACGCAGGAGTGTCAGGAAGAAAATATCAAAGCGCAGGATCCTGGCTCAGGGAGGAATGAAAAAAGAAGGATTTCTGGTGAGAAAGACTGTGTGAGGTCTATCCTGAGCTACTTCACAGCAATCTGCAGGCATGGTATGGACTTAAAATTAGTACCCAAGGGACTGGAGTGAGCAGTTACTGAGTACTCAGGCTGTGCATGTTTCAGCAGACATTCAGTGTTTTCTTGCATCTTTGCCTATTACCAGCTTCCTTAGAGACTCACACAAGTAGAAATGACTAAAAGTAGACACGAAATAAAAAAAGATAAATGAAGAGTACTATGCTGAAGGTACAACAGCCTGAATGTAGCAGCCTCTCTGCTTGCTTATATATTTACATTTTTAGAGTTGTTGCAATATGCTCATCTGTATTCTCTCGTTACTTTGAGATTGAACTTCCTATAACCACAGCAGCTTAGTATAATAATCTCCATTTCCAGTCTGAAAAATTTCTTTTTTCCAAATGCATAGACACACTGTAAATATACAACAAAATTTTCAAATGCCAGGCAAAAAATAATGAGTTAAGCATTTCATGCTGTGGATAATTAAAGCCAACACATTTAATCTCATTTTTCAAATGTGAACCTTGGCAGCAGTTTCTAGAGGCTGTGAGTCTCTGATGGTCTTGACCAAACTGATATGGGCATGGCAAGAAATGCAGTCTCTTAGATAAAGAGACAACCAGAACTCTAAACTAATGTACTAAAGCCAGTTGTGAAAGTTCACAAACTCAGGACAGGGAGCAAGCTCTGAACTCCGTTCTCCAGTTACTGAAAAAATGCAGCATCTTATAAAAAATTTCATTTCTGGATGGACATGAAGTACGTGCACCACCTCACTCCTAAGCAAATGCACTGTTAATATTAAAAATTGAAGTCCGTTGAAGAAGCCATTCAAAATCTCTCTTGCATGTCAGACTTATGCATTAGAAATAGATAGGATGTTGGTTGTCAAACTGCTTTCCATCGTATTTGAAAAATCACAGCTGTCCATTGAAGTCACCAGACACTGGAAAAAGGGAAACGTTACTCCTATTTTTAAGAAAGGAAGATCTGGGAAACTACAGGCCATTTGCCCTCACCTCTGTGCCTGGGAAGATCATCGAGTAGCTCATCCCAGAAGCTATGTTAAGGACGTATAATACAAAGAGGTGATTTGAGACAGCCAACATGGCTTCATCAAGAGCAGATTGTGCCTGACCAATCTTGTGGCCTTCTATGATGGAGTGACAGCTTTGGTGGATGGGGTGATGGATGCCATATACCTGGATGTCTGCAAAGCCTTTGACGTGGATCCTCACCACATCCATCTCTCTACATTGGAGAGGCATGGATTTGAAGGATGGAGTGTTTGATGGATTAGGAGTTGGTTGGCTGGTTGCAGCCAAAGGGTTGTAATCAATGGTTCTATGTCAGGGTGGAGGCCAGTCACAAGAAGTATCCCACAGGGGTTAGTCTTGGGACCAGTGCTCTTCAACATCTTCGCCAATGACAGAGATGATGGTATTGAGTGCACCCTCAACAAGTTTGGACGTGATGCCAAACCGAGTGGTGCAGTCAACACATTGGAAGGAAGGGAAGCCTTCCAGAGGGACCTGGACAGGCTGGAGAAGCTGGCTCATGAAAACCTCATGAGGTTCAATAAGGCCAAGTGCAGAGTGCTGCACTTGGGTTGGGACTGTCCCAGGTATTTATACAAACTGGGGGAAGATCTCTGTGAGAGCAGACCTGTGGAGAAGGACTTGGGGATCCTGGTGGACGAGAAACTGGACATGAGCCAGCAGTGTGTGTTTGCAGCCGGAAGGCCAACTATGTTCTTGTGTTCTAGGCTGCGTTAAAAGAGGAGTGGCCAGCAGGGAAGGGAGATGATTGTCCCCCTCTACTCCGCTCTTGTCTGGCCCCATCTGCAGCACTGCATCCAGGCCTGGGGCCCCCAGTACAGGAAGGACATGGAGCTCTTGGAGCGGGTCCAGAGGAGGACACTGAGATGAGCAGAGGACTGGAGCACCTCTCCTATGAAGAAAGGTCGAGGGAACTGGGATTGTTCAGCTTGGAGAAGAGAAGGCTCCGGGGAGACCTCATTGTGGCCTTTGAAGGGAGCATATAAACAGGAGGGGCAATGGCTGTTTATGAGGGCGCATAGTGATAGGACAAGGGGGAGCTGTGTTAAACTAAGACAGGGGAGGTTTAGGTTAGATATTAAGAGAAAATTTTTCACACACTGAAACAGGTTGCCCAAGGAGGCTGTGGATGCCCCATCCCTGGAAGCGTTCAAGGCCAGGCTGGATGTGGTTCTGGGCGGCCTGGTCTGGTGGTTGGTGACCCTGCACATAGTAGGAGGGTGGAAACTAGATGATCATTGTGGTCCTTTTCAACCCAGGCCACTCTGTGATTCTATTAAATGCATGGATAGAACAAGAAGGGTGTCTGAAACAGACTGTTCCACTACCACATCTGGCTAGCATACAAGGGTTTTATTTCTTAGCATCTTAATCATAGGATTTGTCTGGCAGCTTTTCAGAAGTGTTACTGCAATTTCCTTCTTTTCTTGTAAGCTAGGATTAATATAATACAAAAACAGGTAAGTTGTCACACGACATTGTAGGATTTCATTCAGATTTCTGAGAAATTACTTAAAACACTCATTTGGTTTAAAGCAAACAATAATTATTAAGGACCAAATAAACACCATGTTGATACAATATCAATATTAAGTGTGCCTCTACTTGTGATGGAAGCAAAAAGAAGGAAGAGAAGAAGATACAAGAAACAGAGAACAAAAAGAAGAATCAGACCATACATTTACTGGGAAAATGTAACAAAATCATGATGAAGAAACATTTTTAAATGCTATCAATGAGTGTATCAAGGAGCAATTAAATTGGTAGTACAAAAGAGGGGAAGCAACACCACATTTCAAGAAGCACACAGAATATGTTTCAGAGTTTCAATGTTCAAGTAACTAATCCAGGTTGCTTTGAATTTATATCTTTGAGAAAACAAAAACCTAAAAGTATGCATCAAGTCGCCGTATTCTCAGCTCTGTTACTCAACAGAAAAAAACATGTGATAAGGAAGCATGTAAAAGACCAGGCTGGAGAGAAGACCTAAATGTGCTATGTTCTTATAGTTGGTGATTGCTGAAATACACTGAGTTGGAGAGATGGAGGAAACCTATACCACTGATCAATAATTACATGAGAAATGTAGAATGGAGACAGGCACTAGACAGCTGAAAAAAGGCAAGTCACTAGAAGTCATTCCCTGAAAAGCTGAAGTTGTGTCCAAATATATTGAGAAAGAGAGAGACAAAACAAAAACAAAACATCATGAGCTTGAGATAATAACCCAAACAGAATTTGCTGAAAAATAGAACAGTAAGATACCATCTCACACAATTAGAACAGCAGGTCTGTTTAGAATCTAAGACTTGATGATTAAAAAGAGTACTCGAAGATAGAGATGAATGAAGCAGGCAGAATGAATGGTCTGTTTGTACTGTGGGAGAGGTGAGAGAAGTTTCCCTGCTAGAACCCTTCTGTGCAAGGCATGAAGGAGGGATCTGCCTGAACAGCAGAGACACACTGGGTCCAAACAGCATTCAGCCCTCAGCTCTGGAGAAGCTCAGGGATGGAACTGCTGAACTTGTAAGCCTGGTAGTATCTGTTACCAGACAAATAATGAGAAACTATAAGGAATCAGTGGCTAAGCAGGTAAATACAATTTTTGAGGTGTCCTATATCTTCTCCTTTGTAATGCCACTTGTAGGAGTTTTGGAGCCTGCTAAGGAACTCAAAACTCGCACTTCAGGAGAATACTGCTGACATTCACAAGCATATAAGTAAAGCTTATTCAAGTCTATTCATTGTGGTTTTCTGGTACATTTTCAAGAAGATTTCTGGTGAAGGGCTCTTAAAGAAACTAAGGAATCTTGAAATAAGAGGGATGGTAAGTGTTTTGATAAATAGCTAGTTCAAGGTAATAAAGAGAATAGGACTAAGTGGTCTGTTTGCAAAATGAAAAGATGTCCACATTGGACTCACAAATTGGAACACTGTGCATCTCAGAAAGGAGCTGGTAGAACCACAGAGTAACAGTGATGTGTAGAACAGTATCCATAGGTGGAAGGAACTAATTACAGTTCTGCTGGGAAAAGAGGCAAGTGGGAGAGAGATCTCGTCAAGGTCTAACCAACTAATAATCGTAATGCCACAAAGAGGCTGCATTTTCCAGTGTTTCATGCTGGATATCAGGAAAACAATACAGAGTACCCAGTGAAGTTAGCAAATGGCAGATCCCAGGCCAAAAAAGGGTCATTTACACTTAGAAAACAACATCACAAGAAGTTGCAAAAGCTTAACACTGCTTAGCATCAAAGGGAAAATAACAGCTCCATGGAAGAGAAGGCACCTCTGGCTTGTCTAGTCCCTTAGCCACAGCATCTTTGAGGCTGGGAAAGTACCTGCTCGCCTTGCCCTCAGACAGCCTTTCCTTCGTGGCCAACTGCTTCTGGCTAGTTACTGGACTAAATGAGCTCTTTTCCAACCCAGCACAGCTGTTCAGCTTTGATTTTCTAATGTTCAGGTTCATATAGATGTTAGATTACTTTTAGTAATGCTGATGGCCATGCTGACAAGCACTTCTAATGTCCTTCAGTGTCAAAAGAGTACATTTGTTGATGAAAGGTATCTTTGCCACTGAGCCAACTGCATATGGTACTTCCATGTGTATGTGCATTTATGAGTATGTACTATATATCCACATGCAGGTTGTAATCTAATGCTTCTCAAGTAGCCAGAACTGAATGCGCTTTTGCATCTTTGACAGGATGCTGAAGCCCTTACCATTTCTAAGTAATAATGTGTGGTAAATAATCTTAGCTGGTATTGGAGTAATTTCTTATTTTTATTTACTGCATTGTTTTTATTTTATTCACCAATGACACCCAGGTTCCATTATATTTTTAGTGTTTTGAGTACTGCTATGCCAGAAAACATTTATTTAAGAGGTTAAAGTGAATATGCTTTTTTTTTCAACTTTTTTTTTTTTTTTTTTTTTTAAATCAATGATATTTTACATAGCAGTCCAATTAGGATGTTTGTGCACCTTCTATTCCCATTTACTGTTACAGATTCTGTCACCTTTCTCACCTTTTGGGTATGTGAAGCCCCAGGACCTTTATGAAGACTCAGTCTCTTTACTTGTCTGTTTTCCATACAGGGGTATTTCTTAATCTCTTTCATGCCTTCATTTCTGAGTAGCCTGTATTTTACTTCATAGATCTCCCTCCTATTCTTGGGTCTCCTATTTCCTTGTATGCTATGTGGACTACAATAGTGTCCCCAGGTCTGCTCTCACACCTGAGATGGGATGCCATAGAGACAGACCCAGACAGGCTTGAGCAGTGGGCCTGGGAGAACTTCATGAGGTTCAACAGAGCCAAGTGCAAGGTCTTGCACCAGGACTGTGGCAACACCCACAATCAGTACAAGCTGAGGGATGAAAGGATTGAGCACTTTTGGGGGACTGGTAGATAGCAGCTGTACATGAGCTAGCAACGTGCCCTCACGACCCAGAAAGCCAACCATATCCTGGGCTGCAGCAAAAGAAGCACGGCCAGAAGGGCGAGGGAGGTAATCCTGTTCCTCTAATTAGTACTGGTGAGACCTCACCTGGAGTACTGGGTCCAGATGTGGAGTCCTGTGTAGAGGAGGAACATGGACCTGTTGAATCATGTCCAGAAAAGGGCCATAAAAATGATCCTAGGGAGGAAATGCCTCTCCTATGAGGACAGGCTGAGAGAGCTGGGGCTGTTGAGCCTACAGAAGGCTTCAGGTGACTTGATAGCGGCCTCTCGGTACCTAAAGGAAAGAAGAATAAGAAAGAAGGGGACAGACAGCAGGGTCTGTTGTGATAGGAGAAGGGGAAATGGTTTAAACTAAAGGAGAGGAGATTTAGAATGGATATGAAGAAGTTTTTATACAATAGAAGTAGTGAGGCACAGGAACAGGTTGCCCAGAGAGGTGGTTGATGTCCTGTCCCTGGAGACGTTCAAGGTCAGGCTGGATGTGGCTCTGAGCACCCTGATGGAGCTGTAGGTGTCCCTGTTCATTGCAAGGGAGTTGGATTAGATGGCCTTTAATGATTTCTTCCAATTCAAACAATTCTGTGGTTCTGTTCATCATCTCATATCACAAGATGGATGCACACACACTTCACTTGCTAAGAGCTCTACACCCTGTCATTTCCTGTTATTCCCATGAGGATCTTCCCGATCTGGATTCACATGCTCCTAGTATTCTACTACTAGAAAGTCCTCAGGACTTTTCAGTGCCCCACTTTCTTCCCACCAGAGTACTCCTCTCACCCAATAACCTCTTCCTGCTTCTAAGAAGAACACCATTCTCCAAGCTTGCTTTACCAGGGTTCCATCTGCCTCCACCCACTACTCTCAGGCAGTGCTGTGGCTTCCCTCAGTACAGGCCCTCAGCTAGGGCCTGCACTGACTCTGGGAATGCAGAACTGCAGGGCAGGCAAAATGTTTGAGCACTGCAGTACAAACATAAGGACAAAATGAGAACTGACATTAAACAGGTGGTAGGCCTTGCAAGTGTAATCAGTACCCATCTAGCCATACACTGCTTGAATTAAAATAGCAGACTATCATGATATAAGCTCTCCATTCTCCTTTGCATACAGCAGTTCAGGAGATGTTTCCCTCCTCTTTCCTGTTGTTATTTATTAGTACAGAGAAGTGACAGAAATTTGTTAACTATTTCCAAATTGCTTCCAAACCCCTGACAACAGGGCAATTTTTTCACAGGTATGATCATTTGATCTTTATGCCTGCTTATGGAAAATGTTGGGTTTTATTTGCATATCACCAGTTATTAAAGCGGTGTTTCAATCACAGAATCATAGTTTGCTTCCAGTTTTCAGCTGAAGACCTTTATTCTAACATCATCCACTCCTTTCAAAGACCTTACTGCCTGGCAGAAGCCAAACTTTCACTATGGTTTCACCTTTTTACTTCCCAGCTCACTCGCTGATTTTCACAATTATACTTCATACAGTGTGAACATTTCCTGAATCCTGTCTTTTGTAATCTGTCACGCTCCGAAGTTCTGGAGCATACCAGGAATTTCTCAAAAAGAAACAAAGTGATTTTTGTTCTGTTGTAGAAGTGTTTCAAAAGGTAACACTGAGAATAAGATCAGTGCCCCCATCTCCTTTATTCACTCATTCCTAATATCAAATTATTTTTTTGAGAAGTGGGAGGTGGGGGGAAACTGTTGCCTGACTTTCCTCCCATTCCGTGAGCTATGATTTGCACACATATAAAACAGATAGCAATGAATAATGACAGTGTATGCGCTGACCTGATACTGTAGAGCAGAAGGTTTTCACATCACTCCAAGGTTCCCCTCCAAGGTCTCAGAACTAACTTCGCATGTCCTAATGGGTTGTGCAGGCATCTTTATTGATACAGAAGGATTAGTTACTTGCAGCACAGGACAGAGGAAGGAGTCATTACTGGTACCAATTTATGCAGAAAGAAGTGCTTCACAGAAAGGACTCCACACTGCGCTCGGAAGACATCTGGAGGCCGGCAGGGGAGAGCAGTGCTCACCCACTCCCCCTCCGAGGTGACCTCGTGGGCACCCGCAGTGCACGCAGCTCCGCGCTGACCCACGGACGTACACCTTTCTCCGCGCTCGCTTATCCGAGCCGCACATGCGGACCCCCCCCAGACCCCTTCACGCCCGCGCCGAGCAGCGATAGCGCGCTCGCGAAGGATCGAGATGCAGCTCCAGAACGCCACGCCGGCGGCTGCAGAGCCGCCTCCTCCCGGGGGCTCCGGGCCGGAGCCACGCTCCTCTCGCGAGACAAGGCCCCGCGCCGGCGGGCTCGGCGGGGCGGGAGAGCCGGGGCGCCGCGCTCCCCCTCCCTTCCTCCCCCCCCAACCTCCGCCTCGGGGCCGCTCCCCGCGGGGCGGATGCAGCGGCTCCGCCGTCGTTTCGTTCCGCGTGGTGCCGCCGCCGCCCTCCCCGGCAGCGGGCGGAGCCTGAGGAGCGGGCGGCCCCCCGCATCCCGCCTCTTCGCGAGCGGGGAAGCGAGGGGCGCGGCCAGGCCGTTCCGCGTCCCAGTTCCTCTCCCCGCGGCGCGGGGTTCAGGTGGAGGGGGCGGGGGGCGCGACGAGCGTCGTTTCCTTCTTTCTTTCTCCGGCAACGCGGCCGCTCCTCCCCGCGCGGCGCTGTCAGGCGGCGGGAGGCAGAGCCGGACGGAGGGGGCGGGCGGCGAGCGGGGGTCGAGGGCGGCGGCCACACCGGCGGCGGCATCATCACCTGGCGCTGCGGCGGGGCGGGGCGCGGCGCTGCGTTGTCTGCGGCGCGCTGCAGCCCCGGGCGCTGGTTGGCGGCTTAAAGCAGCGGAGCCGCCGCCGCGGGGGGCGTTCAGAGCAGCCGGGGCCGCCGCCGCGCGCACTGGTCGGCAGCGCAGGGAGCAGCCATGGAGGGAAAGCAGCAGCCGCCTCAACGGGATCCGGGCCCCGGCGAGCTGAAGGTGCCGGGGGCCGCGGGTGGAGAGCCGTGCTCCGAGGGGAAAGATGCGGGTGCCGACGCACTGGGCAGACCGCTGGGACCCACGCCGAGTCAGAGCCGCTTCCAGGTGGACCTGGTGGCCGAGGCGCCCCGCAAGGCCAACGGAGAAGTCGACGCGGCGGGGAAGGGTAGCGAGGAAGCCAAGGGCCGCTTTCGGGTGAATTTCGTGGACCCGTCGGCCGGCGACGAGAGCCCCAGCGAGCCCGGCGCCGGCGGCAGCTCGGAGGGCGCCAACGTCAGCTTCCAGAACGGTGGCGACACGGTGCTGAGCGAGGGCAGCCTGCACTCCGGCGGGCACCACCACTACTACTACGACACCCACACCAACACCTACTACCTGCGCACCTTCGGCCACAACACCATGGACGCCGTGCCCCGCATCGACCACTACCGCCACACGGCCGCGGACCTGGGCGAGAAGCTGATCCGGCCCAGCCTGGCCGAGTTGCACGACGAGCTGGACAAGGTGAGCGGGCCTCGGGGCGGCCCCCGGGGCGGAGGGGCCCCTGGGACGTCGGGCCTCCTCCTGTCCATCCCCTTGCTGGAGACGGAGCCCGGCGGAGCGCTGCGGCCGTGCGTTCCGGGGCCGTGCTCCGCAGCCCGGGGAGCGGCGGGCGCGGATGAAGCGGTTTTCCGTTCGCTGCCAAACGGGGTCTGCGGGCTCTGCGGGGCATCGCTGCGGGGAGGGGAAGGGAGGGAGCACGTCTCAGCGAGGTGCTGCAGAAGGAGGCGACTGCTGCTGCTGCGGGGTTTAACGAGAGGTAATCTCAGGGCCGTGTTGTGAGTGGAGCGTTAAAGTACTGCAGCGCTGTTTTCTTGCAGCCCCCTGGGTTCTGCAGCGCGCTGATGGGTGCGTACCTCAGTTGGTTTTTCCACCGGTCGATTGGAATGAGGGAGCATGTGGGCCGCATCCTAATGAAGTGGGGAATGTTCTGCTTCCAGAGCTCTTTACATCCCATCTTTCACTCCTAGTCAGTCAGGCAGGAATTCCATGAGAAAATGTCGTCTTTGACGACCCCGGTGCTTCAGACCCTCATTAGGCAGCTCAGTACATCCGTATTCATCTGTGCTGTGGTTCTTGTTTCTGGTGATCTTCCAGCTATGTTTTCTGGAAACATAGCTCTTTATTCTGATACAGGGATTGTTTGGTGATGCAAGGAGGTGTCTCCGTGACACAGTTCTGGTTAGATAGCACAATGCTTACTAACAGTAGTGGCATGGTCTTATTGCCTGTTAGGTTTGCTCAGGACTGATGCCCGTTAGTCTGATTCTGAGTTAGTGCGGAGCAAAATCGACCAATCACTTGTTTTTGTGAGGTTAGAGCCACTATAAATAAGCCATATGGTCTATGGGAAATGCACCAAACTTGTTTCATATTTCTGACTTCAGCTCTAAGCTGGGGATGAGGAGCAGAAAGGGAAGGCTGTTGGATAACTCTGTCCTGCGATCCTAAGCTTGGCAGGCAGGTATTCTGTGTGTTTATATTGTGGCAGCCCAGCGAGCTCTTCGTGATACCATTAAGGCATTTCAGTGCATAATGAAACAGTTTGGAACCGTGCTTTCTATAAGCATCATTTATTCAAATTTAAAAGAATTGTTCTTGATAGGTTGCTTTGAACAGGGTCTCAAAATAGATACATTGTAAACATTGCTGAACTTAAAGTACTAATTTCTAAAATGGCCTTAATTTGTTCAGCAGAATGGATAGGTGCCTAAGGTTTGTTGTTTTTTTTTTTTTTTCTAACTTGATCTTTTCCTTCCAACTTCTTATGATCTTGTTAAACTCTCTAATCAACAGTGATTTTGCTTGTACTGCCATAAGCTGTATTGCATATGAGTGTTTGCAGGGCAGTTGGTACAAACATCCTAGCAGCACTGAATGCAATGTATACTAAGTAAAGATCTGTTGTTTCCCCATAAAAATGCTCGTTGTTCCTCAGGGAACTGCCATTCATTTTCTTGGCCTTGAATAGCTTCTTAATCCAGTGTACCAAAATTGGCTGTTACTTTGCATCAAGACTGATCTAGAAGCACTCATAGCAGTGTGTTTGCTGCTTGAATTCATCTATTTCATCTTACCCTGGGTCTGCACAACACTTTTCTTGCTTTTCGAAAGTAAGTGCATGTTGACAGGCAGTGTTTCTGCAATGCTGATGCTAGTGTGTGTGTAAGAATATATTTTGTATTTTTTCCGTAGCTTTGTTTACAATATCATTTGTCTAACGGTTGTTCTGATTCTGTTCTCACAGAGGAGCCCTGCTTGAGGAGGATGCGGTGCTTGAGGAAGATGCACATATGGAAGGAATACCTTTTTGCAGGAGTTTGTCTTATGAAGATAGGATAGGTGTCAGACCAGCCACCTGAGATGTTGTTTGGCCATTCTTATAGTAGGAAGGAATTGTTTTTAAAAGTGACTATGGCAGTACAGCTGGGTGATGTTTCAGTACTCATTGGATGGATTGCATAGTACCAATGTTCTCCCTTATTTTAAGCTCTGAGTAAGGGACTTGTCACTTATCACTGACTGCAGATAGCCAAGGTAGTTGGTATTTTGCTTGTCTGCTTGGTTTGTGTTAATCTCTCTTGTAGAGAAACGGTAGTTTGGTGATACTGTCACAGTTGCTAATGTCACAGATAAGGTGATGCAGAAGCATCAGTCTGCAGAGACTTACAGCTGTGAAGATGGTTATTATTAGCAAAGAAGGGGGAGGGAAACAACCTTATGTGCTCTGCATATTTTTGTTGTGTTTGCAGTGGTGTGCCCTGCCCTGCTGAGAGGATCTCCTTCAATCGTAACAAAGATTGATAAGTGACCTTGATTTCCTTTTTTTTTTTTTCCTTTCTTTCTTAGAGTTTAGGAATATGTTTTGCCTAGTAAAGTAAAACTGTAGCTTGTAAAAGCATATGGAATGTCTTTTGTCTTCCTCAATGTAAATGTGCTATAATATCACACGCCTTACAGTTCCAGAAGGTAGATGCTTTTAAAGCCAGAATTGGATTGTTTAAGTTATCTACTGCCCTACAAAAATGTATGGAAGTGCCTTAACTGAGGAAATTATTTTTGAAACGAGCAACTTCACAGTCTGTGAACTGTTCTGATTTAATATTTGCCTTTTGTTCAGCCACTTAGAACTGTGGTCTGTGTGCAGACCAAGCCCTCTACTGGTAGCTTTGTTCTGTTGTTCGCTAAATACTTAATGAATGTGCTAGCCTGTCCTTTGACAGGCTGTGACATGGTGATCTCAGAGGACAAACTTTACCCCTGCTATCCAAATTAAACTGGGGGGAAAAAAAACCCATTCCTTCTAGAACAAAAATGTGCCTAGCTACCTTCTCCACAAAAAGTCACATGTCTGTCCTCTGAATTGGAAGATAAGTAAATAAAATGTTATTGATAATCTTAGTGCAGGGTCATCTGAAATCAGTGTTGATTACTTTTTCTAATTTTTCAATCAAGTTGGATGATGAGTTCTTTAAAATATCTTCTTTAATTTTTATTTTGTTGAAGGAACATTGCAGTTTCTCTTACAATTTAAAACACTGGGTACAGTGGAAAAACTGCATGGCACTAGTTTTTTTTTACAAAGAATATATACTCTCTTGAAAATGGTGAATGATTGCTGCAACTTTCTTCTATTTCTTGGTTTGTCTGTGGTAGTCTGTGAAGAAGACAGGGCTTACGATCCATCGTAGGAGGCTTAAGGTGATTCTAGGCTATCCAGGTAGCTGGTGATGTAACGTGAGGTCTGAAAGCTGCTTCTTCCTTGCTGCCTTTTTGTAAGGCTGGCTCCTGCAGGTAGGATTCTTCTTGCAGCACCTTGCTGAAGGCTGTCATCAATCATGAGGCCTCATAGGTCTTGAGTTACTGTGATTTAATTCAGATCACTTTTTATCTTTCTTTCTTTTCTTTATATTTGTAAGCAGTACCTTTATTTCTTTCTGAACTTTAGTCCTACTAAAATAAAACGTGAGAAGTTCTCAAGCTTGGTCGCTGTACTTCTAGATATCCTAGAAGCTTTTCATTTGTAACTGTTCTTGTTCACAGTTTTTGAAAAATGGTGAACTTTTGTGTTCATGAGCTTGGATGAAGCTTTACTAGCTTTGTGCAAAGTGGTATTCTAAT